GTATAAACTGGGTTAACAAAATCAGAAATGAGGTAGTGATAAGCCGCCTGGGAAAGCAAAGGGAAATCATCAAAGCCATTAAAAAGCGAAAGTTAGAATATTTTGGACATGTGATGCGACACCCAGAAAAATACAGCATCCTTCACTTAATCCTCCAGGGAAAGATTGAAGGCAAACAAGGTCCAGGCAGAAGAAGAACATCATGGCTTCAAAACCTAAGGGACTCAGCAGCACTTTTTCAGGCTGTTTCAAAAATAGGATTGCCAACATGATCGCCAATGTCCGATGATGCGATATGGCAGGAGTAGGAGTAGGAGTAGGAGTAGGAGTAGGAGGGGGAGGAGGAGGAGTAGGAGAAGAAGAAGAAGAAGAAGAAGAAGAAGAAGAAGAAGAAGAAGAAGAAGAAGAAGAAGAAGAAGAAGAAGAAGAAGAAGAAGAAGAAGAAGAAGAAAAATCTGAAGAGCCACCAGCAGATTACTTCCCTAGAGAGTGACAGAATATGATCTAGCAGATCAAAAATTCAACTTGGAACATATGATTTCCTTTTGACTTTGGACTCATCGGATACCTATTCAACTAGACGCATATGGCCCGTGAGTCACCAGTTGGACATCTCTGAACTAGATCATTCATCCATTGGTTGTTTAGGATGTAGGCCTTTTTCTTCAAGCAGATATCTTCTATATCAGACGTCTCTGTCACATTTCTTAAGAATAAGACTAACAATCCAAATTTATTGATATGGTATCAGTAGCAAAAATAACAGAGAAGTTTTGTTAGACATATGATATGCTTGCAGTAGTTGTCTGAAATATGGATGTGCAAAAGCATCTGATGCTAACTATTCCAAGTGTAAGACTTCATGTAACTCATACATACATACATACATACATACATACATGCGCACACCCATTGCAGAACTGCTGTTATTTATTTATAATGAGAATTTTGTAAAGCCTCACATCAAAATGGTTTGAGTTCTTGGACACCCTATCTGGGAATGAATTCATAGCAAGCCCCAGCAATGCAACATTTCTTCAGTATTAATTAGAGTTAATATAATTCTCACACAACATACAAGGAATAGCTAATAGTTTCTATTTGACTATTAAGTAATATTGAAAACTTGAAATATTGAAAATGGTTAAGATAAGAGAGTTTATTTAAGCTGCAACACACATGGTTTTAATACATTTAAATCAGATGAAAAATAATACAATGAACAACCAAGCAGTAAAACATTTCCATTGGAAATGCATTAAAATTCTTAAGCACTTCTTGTCACCATCTTACTGCAGTTTTCTTAAGTGTTTCTAATCTACAACCCATACCTTTTCTGTAATCATGCAAAAGCAAATCAGAGCTTGAATGGGAAGTCCATTTACTATAAACAATCATATTTCACAGAGTACTACACTTGGTAAAACAAAATTAGAGTTCTTCAGGTATGTACACACATTTCAGAAGCCGTGAACTTTCAGTTGTTCTTCCTTAACAATGCCAACCTACAGAAAATATACAAACATCAATAAACCCTTGGGAGTTAGGACTAGAAATGTCACATAAAATAAATCCACATATTAATTATGTACAATGATGAGCTACTGAGATTGGTATAAAATTACAGCAGTTTTCAATTTACAAGTCAAGCTAGAGAACCCTCAAATGTTTCCTTAAAACTTCCCACAATAAAATCTTAACTGGTCAAATATAGGATATCAATTGTGACATTTAGAAAAGCAAATGTTAGAGGCAAGTTGTTACACTAAAATCCTAAAGGGGAAAACAATTCAAGAAGCGTGGGAAACACTGAAAAATATTATCATAAAAGCCCAGTCCAACACAATACCACTAAAAAAACCCTGCAAGAAATCCAAGTAGAAACCAGCATGGTTGCATAAAGATCTCTCCAATAAGCTGAAAGACAAAAAGGATAAGTACAAAAAATGGAAAGAGAGAGACATAACTAAAGCAGAATATCAACCGATAGCCCGAACCTGTAAAGACAAAGTCAGAAAAGCAAAGGCTCAGAATGAACAAAGACTTGCAACAAAAGTCAAAGATAATAAATTCTTCAATTTATTAATAACAAGAAAAAAGTCAAGGAAATAGTAGACTCGCTAAAATTACCAGTTGTCTGCAAGAAGTATAAATCCTTCCATTCCCCACTATCCAGTCAGAGCTGAATAAGCTTCTTGGGAGAGAAGTGAAATGTCTTCAAAGAAAAAACAGAAAGTTCAGTTGCCTCTTGAAAAAAGCACCTTTCGGACAACTATGACCTGGATGACTGAGAATTTCCATAGACATTCATCACTGGAGGTTTTTAAGAAGAGACTGGACACTTGTCTGAAATGGTATAGGATCTCCTGATTGAGCAGGAGGCTGGACTAGAAGGCCTCCAAGGTCCTTTCCAGCTCTATTCCGATTCTGATTCACTTTTCCATTTAACCTCATGATTCAGCTCTTTATCGATTTAGAGAAGACAATAAAGCTCATTGTTGGCAGAGTGACTCACGAAATTCTATTTTATTATCAGACTCAAAAACAATTTTCAAGTATTTGTTTAATTTAAATGAGCTACGTGCATTTTAATATTTGAGTCAGCTGTATGTATTGAAAGAGTTGTAACATCTCATCACTCACCTCTAAAAGGAACTGACAAATGTTCTTCCTCTGGTCACCCTGCAACTGAATAACTTCCCCGTATTCAGGATGTTCAATCACAGTACCATTACAAGCAAATTTCTGCAGAAAAACATTACTATATTCAGTGGCAACAAATTGTTTTTCAGGTACTTGATGTTATTTCTATTATAGGTAATCCTTAACTTATGTAGAAAGTTAGCACCCACCCATCTCCTAGAATGAAATATTCTAGGAAGTATTAAAAAGGCAGAATATTAAACGTTTTTAAAGACAAAGCAGCTCCCTGCAGTTCCCTCACCCTCCCCACTTCAGCTCCAGGGCGATGGGACCTTCACCCTCAGGACATGATAGGATTAGCTTCATTACCTCATCACCCAGCAAGATTCAACCAAGCCTGGGACTCAAGACAACCTACAAAGTTACCCCTGCATGGCCTCATGGGAGTCTGATCACCAATCAGAATACATTTCTTACACAGGAAGAAGAAACTCCAAGGCAGGGCCCAAGAGAGGGTATAAATCAGTGGTGAAATCTGAATTTTTTTATTACCAGTTCTGTGGACATGGCTTGGTGAGCATGATGTGGCTTGGTGGGCGTGGCAGGGGAAGGATACTGCAAAATTTCCATTCCCACCCCACTCCAGGGGAAGGATATTGCAAAATCTCCATTCCCACCCCACTCTGGGGCCACCCAGAGGTGGTATTTGCCGGTTCTCCGAACTATTCAAAATTTCCACTACCAGTTCTCCGAACTGCTCAAAATTTCCACTACCAGTTCTCCAGAATCTGTCAGAATTCTGGATTTCTGCTGGATTTCACCCCGGTATAAATCTCCCGCTCTCTCTCACCCATGTGCTTGATTGCACGGGATCTCAAAGCATGTGGTCCTGTCCACCATTAAACCATCTTTCCAAACACACCTCCCATGTTTCCAGTATCTTTCTACCCACTTGGAACTGAACCCAGATGGATATTTCTTCCAACAATTTGGCACCCAGAGATGGGACTCCAAGCTAACCTGACCAATGGACCTGGCCCAGGTAAGGCTCCCTTGCTGGCAGCAGATCCACTGAGTCTATGGGTGAGTTTTCCTGGACCTTGGTCATTTGGAACAAAGGTTTTAAAGGGGTTTTGAGTGTTGAGCTCAAAGGCTGCTTGGAAAGAAGGTGAGTAACCTCTAAGTCCAGAAAAGTGTGGGAAATGTGTGTATGCTTGTGTATGTGAGTGAGGGGATCCTTCTCCCAATCACAGATGAATCTTGCTTCCTCTGTGTGTTCTACCAAGAGAGCCTGGAAAGTATAGGAAGTCAGGCCAGAGCACAGGACCTTCTGTTAGGGAAAGGAGAGAGTGTGTGTAGAAATGGAATGGAATAGTGAATAAGAGTTAAACTTGGGCAAGTAGCTGGGAAGTCACTGAGCAAAGCCCTAAAAGGAGGGGGGGTTCCTTACCTCTGGGAAGCAAGTAGAGGTCCCCCTGGACTTTAGTGAGTCCGAAAACTGAGGCAGGAAAAGGAAAAGGGCCAGGGAAAGAGGTGCCCATACTCACTGCGGGGAGCAGTGGAGTCCTCCCGGACCCCTTTTTGGTCTGCAAACCGAGAGCGGAGTTCCCTCAGAGGAAGGGTCCTTACTCTGCAGAGGGAAGCAGAGTCCTCCCAGACTCTTTTTGGTCTGAAAACTGAGATGGGGAGAAGGGGTTCACTAGGAAGCCCAAGATTCACCAGGACCTGGCAGGGCCGAATTGAATTCCTACATCAGAAAGGCATACATAGAATACTCTAGCTCGGGTGTTGGCAACCCGCAGCTCCAGAGCTGCATGCAGCTCTTTGGGGCCTCTGCTGTGGCTCCCTGTCCTATCATTGGCTGGCCCCACCCATTGCCCTCCCCTCCCTCGCCTGATCTGGGAAGGTAAGGGAGACAGCGGGGGATGGAGAAGTGGCCAGGCCTGATTCTCCAGCACCTCATTCTTGTGGAGCTTCTTCTGGCCCTTGTTGGTACTGGGCATGCCTCAGTCACTTGGGGAGATGTGCAACTGCTCTCTGCCCCGAGACACTGGCCTGGCCGCAACCGACGCCGGGCTTGTTAAAACAAGGGCTGGCGGGGTGGGAATGGGATCTGGGAGGATCAGGGTGGATAAAAATCAATGATTTTTTAAAAAAATTTTAAAAAATCAGATTCTTTTTATTTAAATCGGATTTTTTTTTATTTAAATCAGATTTTTTTTTATTTTTATTGAATTTATTTTAATAAAAAACTTTTGGGGTAAAAATCTATCGTAAGATAGTTTTCTATTTAAGATACATAAATAATTTAGTTTATTCAGCATGAAATGGAGCTTAGTTATTGTGAGAAATAAAGAAATTAGGGTTATTCCTGTAAAACAATATAGCCTAAGTTACGCCATTTTAAAATCATGTTAAGGCCTTATTTTACTCTGTATAACCTGAGTATATAATTTAGCTGACAGTTTAAGGAGTGTGAGAACAGGATGTGTGGTTCCTGTGTTTTTAGAGGAAGTTGTGTTCTTGAGATGTCCAGGTCGGCTTGACCTCGTTAAGAAAGGGAAGTGCGTATATGCTGATATACATGTGTAAGCAATATTTTTAAGTAGGGTATTTTTATATACTGGAATTATGGGGACTTTCCATAATGGGAATATCATGTGTTCATCTATTATATAAAGTCTGAAATTGTACTCAAGGGACATGCTTGTATCCTGTAAGATGTAACCTGAAAATTGTATAAAAGACGGCGAGAAAGGATGGTAATTTGCTCTCTCACTTTGAGGGGGACCTTTGCAAAGACATAATTAATAAATAAACTGTATTCTTGTCTTATCTCTCAACTCTCTGTCAATTATTTTCTGGGTACAGGCATTTCCTGTGTATCACAATTGGCGCTGAACAGGGACTTGAGGACCTTTCGTCGGGTAAGCAAATAAATCTAAAAAAGCGTGCTAAACACTGTTTTGGTGTTAAGGTTTGTTTTCTTGCCGGACGGGAGCAGCTTCTCTAATTAACCCTGGGACGGAGACTTGGAGATCAGGACAGGAGACAGGAGGAACGTTCCGGGGGACTGCACTGGGAGTGAGTATACTTTTTCTCTCTGGGGTTTTTATTAGGTGTGCTTAGTGTGTGTATGAGTGTGACAGTATGGGGCTTTCTTGGAGTAAACGTAGTGAAAATACTAACAATGAAATACCCTCTATTCCTCCAATATCACCTTTAGAGGAGTTGTTAACTCAGTGGACAGAGGATTGGTTGAAGGTTTATACTAAACAGTTGGATAAGGTGGCTATGATTAATTACTGTACAAGAGTGTGGCCGAAATTTATCTTGATAAAGCCTAATTACAGGTGGAGTAAGTTTGGGGAGTCTGACCCGTATTGGATCAATGCCTTGAAGAAGGTATTGGAAGGCAAGAAACTAATTTCTCAGTTGCCATATGTTGAACCGTGGTTTCATGTTCAGTGGTTTGATCCCTTTCCACCCAGGGATTCTAGAGTGTTGTATGGGGAAGAGGAGGGAGAGAAAAGGTGGGATCCTTTGGCTTATGCTACATGCCCACCTTTACCTCCTCCATATAACCTGAATGCTGCTGGGGCAGTGGGTGGCTTAGCTGGGGCAGCTGCTGCTGGGAGCAGTGGGGGAGTACCTTCAACAGCTCGGCGATATCAACAGATAAAGAGGGAGTCGGAAGAATTGCCAACACCGGTAAGACCTCCTTCCCCTCGTAGGACACGTCTACAAACTAAGAAAATGTTGCCTTTGAGGGAGATGCCAAATGGTTTAACTGGTGCAGGCCTCCCAGTGACAACGTTTGTAAATGTGCCTTTAACATCTTCAGATTTGAGAAATTACAAGAGTAATATGCCGTCTCTACAAGCGGATCCAATTAAGTTGTCAGAATCATTGGATCTGTTCTTGGGGCCCAATTTGTATACGTATGCTGAGTTACAGCATATATTGGGTTACCTGTTCTCCCCTGAGGAGAGGTCACAAATACGGAAGGCGGCTATGGCCTATTGGGATAAGACCCAGGTCGGGGCCGCTCAACCCGTGGCTGCAGAGACAAAGTTTCCATTAGCAGACCCTGGTTGGAATAATAACAATGCAGTCGACCGGGGGCAAATGGAGGACCTGAAGAGGATTATACTTCAGGGAGTTAAGACAGCTGTACCTCAAGGAAAGAATTTGACTAAAGCTTTTGAGGTGGAACAGCTGCGAGATGAAACACCCTCAGTGTTTCTGGAACGTATTAAGGACAATTTAAATAAGTATTCTGGTCTTTCTCCTGAAACGCCAGCTTATGAGTCCTTAATGAAAATGCAGTTTGTGACAAAGGCATGGCCAGACATCAAGAAGAAAATACAGAAAATTGATGACTGGGCTGGGTCTGATATTACCGCCCTGTTGAAGGAGGCTCAAAAAGTGTATGTGAATAGAGATGAAACAAAGACTAGGCAAAAGAGTCAGATGATGGTGTCAGTAATGAAGGCTGCAAATAAGCCAGCAGATAGGAAGGAAGTGATGGGGAGAGGAAGAAATTTTGGAAAGAATCCGTCCACTGTATTGAAACAGCGTCCAGGGATAGGAAGAGGATTTCCACAGTTGAGGAGGCCTGGAATTAGTGGCCAGGAAAGTAGGAAATGTTTTGCGTGTGGCAAGGAGGGGCATTTTGCTAGAAATTGTCCAGAGAAGAGGAGGTCCCAGAGGATGGAAACGCGTCTCTATACCCTTATGGGAGAAGAGGATGATTAGTGGGGTCAGGGGCTTTTGATAGAGGGATCCCACCAAGAGCCCTTGATAAAATTGTTAGTGGGACCAGAAGAAGAGGAATATGTGTTTTTGATAGACACGGGAGCAACTAGAACTTCTATTTGTAAAATACCAAATGGAGTGCATCAAACAGGTGCAACCATTAAGATAAGGGGTGTTCAAGGAATACCTTTTGAAGTGCCATTGTTGAATAATATGACTTTGGGTTGTGGAAAGCAAAAGATCTATTTAGATGTTATATTTGTACCAGAAGCTGGCATTAATCTGCTTGGAAGAGATGCATTATCACTTCTTGGTTGTGAGTTAAAATTCTCTTGTAATGATTCTATAGTTAATGTGTTAACGGAAGAACAAGAGAGGAATATTGACCCTATTGTGTGGGAACAGGAAGGTAATAGGGGAGTTTTAGATATTCCCCCATTGAAAGTGACTTTGAAGGAAGGGACAGTTCCTGTGAAGGTGAAGCAGTATAATATTCCTATAGATTTGAGGAGAGTTAAAGCCAGTGATTGAGAAGTTGTTAGCAGATGGATTGATTGAACCTACTATGTCCCAGTATAATTCACCTATATTACCTGTTAGGAAGCCTGATGGATCTATTAGAATAGTTTTGGATCTTCGCCAAATAAATTTATTGGTTGCCAATAGACATTCGATTGTAGGAAATCCTTATACGTTGTTGGGGAGAATACCACATAGCCATAAATATTTTAGTGTGATAGATTTGAAGGATGCGTTTTGGACATGTCCTTTGGATGAGGAATCAAGAGATATTTTTGCTTTTGAATGGGCTGATCCAGATACTCATAGGAACCAGCAATATAGATGGTGTGTTTTGCCACAGGGATTTTCTGAAAGTCCGAATTTGTTTGGACAGATGTTGGAACAAGTGTTGGAAGGATTTTGTATTCCTTCTGGACTACAGGTGTTACAATATGTAGATGATTTGTTGTTATCTGGAGAGAAAAAGGTTGAGGTAGAGAAGGGAACAAATGCATTGTTGAATTTTTTGGGGAGAAGTGGCTTGCGGGTGTCAAAAAGGAAACTTCAGTATGTGGAGTTAGAAGTTAAATACTTAGGTCACTTGATAAGCCAGGGAAGTAAACGGATAAATCATGAGAGAGTAGAAGGAATAATAACTCAGCCATTGCCGAAAACTAAGAAGGAAGTTAGGAAATTGCTTGGTTTAGTGGGCTATTGTAGATTGTGGATAGATGATTATACGGATAAGGTGCGGTTTTTGTATGATAAGTTAATAGAGGAGGAACCTTGGACAGTTATATGGAAAGATGATGATGAGTCTAAATTGAAGGAATTGAAAAGATCCTTAATGCAAGCTCCGGTTTTGAGTTTACCAGATTTGAAGAAACCGTTTCATCTGTTTGTGGCAGTAGAAGATGGGATTGCAAAAGGGGTGCTTGCTCAAACCTGGGCGGGAAAGAAGAAACCTATAGCTTTTTTGTCAAAGTTGATGGATCCTGTAGTACGAGGATGGCCGTTGTGTGTGCAGGCAGTGGCAGCAACTGCCTTATTGGTAGAGGAGAGTAGAAAATTGACATTTGGGGGTGCATTAGTTGTGAGTAGTCCACATCAGGTTAGAACTATCTTGATGCAGAAGGCGCATAGGTGGTTAACAAATGCAAGACTTTTGAAGTATGAAGTTATTTTATTGTCTCAAGAGAATTTAGTTCTTTCTACAGATAGAAATTTGAATCCGGCAGAATTCTTGTCAGGAGAGAGACAGGAGTGGGATTCTATAGAGCATAATTGTGTGGAAGTAATTGATTTGCAAACCAAGGTTAGGGAAGATTTAGAGGATAGTCCATTAGAGGGCGGTATTAACTTATTTATTGATGGTTCTTCTCGAGTTAAGGGCGGAAGGAGAGTAAATGGATATGCTGTTGTAAATGGGGACACTTCAGAGATTCTAGAAGCGGGGAAGTTACCGTCTGAATGGTCGGCGCAAACGTGTGAGGTTTTTGCCTTATTGCAAGCTCTGCATTTGTTGGCTAATGAAGTGGGAAATATATATACAGATTCAAAATACGCTTATGGTATTTTGAATACTTTTGGAAAAATCTGGATGGAGAGGGGATTGATTTCCACTAAGGGAAAGGAACTTAAACAAGTTGATCTTATAACTGCTGTTTAAAGGCAGCTGAAGGTCCTACTAAGCTTGCTGTTATACATGTTGAAGCTCATAAGAAAGGAACTTCAAAATTGATAGTGGGAAATAGGATGGCAGATGAAGCAGCTAAGGAAGCAGCTTTAGGGGAAGAAGTTATTATGATTTTAATTCCAGCTTTGACTGATGACGTGACTCCTGTATTTACTAATGACGAAGAACAACAAATGATAAATGAGGGGGTGCGTCAGGTGAATGGAAAATGGATAACTAAGGATGGGGTGCAAGTTTTGAATAAAGCAATGATGAGGAATGTGCTTGAACGTGTGCATGAGGGAACTCATTGGGGAACACAAGCTCTTATAGATTTTGTTAAACGTACATATGTGTGTAGGGGGATATATACTATAGCTATGCAAATATTACGAAAGTGTATACATTGTGTAAGAGTTAATAAAAAGATTATGAGGAAACAACTTATGGGAGGTAGAGAGTTGGCTGTCTGGCCTTTTCAAAGAATCCAAGTGGATTATACTGAAATGCCAGCGGTTGGAAATCTTAAATACTTGTTGATTATAGTGGATCATTTGACAGGATGGGTTGAAGCTTTTCCTTGTGCTAGGGCAAATGCTCAGATGACTGTTAAAATTATATTGGAACAATTGATACCACGTTATGGGTTAATTGAATCAATAGATAGTGATACAGGTACACATTTTACGGCCCAGGTGGTAAGGCAAGTAATGAATTAATTGGGAATTGATTGGCAGCTTCATTTGAGTCATTTAGCTAGTTCCTCTGGAAGAGTGGAAAGAGCTAATCAGACTATAAAATCTGCATTAAAAAAATTAATGTTAGAATTGAAACTACCTTGGACGAAATGTTTGCCTTTAGCTCTATTGAGAATAAGAACAAGTCCGAGAAAGGATATAGGAATATCTCCATATGAGATGTTTGGATTGCCGTATACAGGAAAAGTTGGAATGCCCAGAATAGAATTGAAGGATGTTTTTCTAAGAAAATATATACAAGGACTGTCCCAGTGTTTTTCTTTTTTAAGGTCTAAAGGATTATTGGCGCAAACTCCACCGCTTGATTTCCAAATCCATGAATATAAGAGTGGAGACTGGGTCCTGATTAAAGCACTTAAGGAGAAAAAGTTGCAATCGGTGTGGGAAGGACCGTTCCAAGTTTTGCTGACTACTGAATCGGCTGTGAGGACAAAGGAACGAGGTTGGGTGCATTATTCAAGAGTGAAAGGACCGGTGTCTTCGCCATATGGATGGACGGTGGATACAAAATCTACAGATCCGTTGAAATTGACCTTTCGTAGACAACCTTTAGATGATTGATGACCGACGGATGGAAGAAAAGTTTTATGAAGAATTTTGTATTTGGTTAGGAGTGATATTGATTTTTGTTATATTTTTGATTGTATTAAGAAAAGATATAATTGATTGGTGTAAATCTATGCTTTGGTATCCAGTGGATGAAAGTTCACCTCGACAGTTTGATACTTTGGTGGTAAGATAATAATATTTTATCTTTTTGAAAGCTATATTGGAGAGGGGAATTAGTCCACTAGGAAGATGGGGTATATGGTGTTTCTGTTTATTTTATTGAAGGTGCAGATAGGGATGGAAAAAGAGATGTTGGCTGTGTTACAAGATTATCCAATAACATGGCAGCAGTTATGTTTCCATACTGAACTTGAGCACCGATATTCTTTAATAGAGACACTGACCTTGATAGAGGGTGCTGAAGAAGCTGATATATGTATAAGATCATCTTTTGTTGATGGGATACCCTTGGGCAGATATGCTAATTGTAATAATACATATGACATTACCACTAAATACACTGATTTGTCAGAAAGAATGGAGTTTTTATATAATCAATGTACTGATCTTTATGGTAATCATACTCCTTCATATAAGAAGTTCCGTATTTTGGAGGAGGGATTACATTTTCCATATTTTGAAATAAAGGCCCCTTCGAAGTTAATGTTTTTATGTGGAAATTTGGCTTTGCCTAAATTGCCTTATTTTTGGAAGGGAAGATGTGCTGTTGGTTATCTTAAAGCACCTTTACGACATGCCAGAAGTATTGCTGAACGGAGGATGAGAGAAGGCAATATATTTCTGGATTTAATGAAGGTAGCTTTAAACAGTACTTCCTTGTGTGTCAGAGGTGAGACAACTGTCTCTGATATAATGGCTACATGCTTTGTGGGGGTACCAGTACCGGGAAAGTTTTTGTTTGAGGAAGCAAATATTGTAATAGAGCCAAATAATCTTAATTTGTCACATATTATAACATTATTTGGGAGTCCACAAAAGCCAACTAAGTGGACAAATCAGAAGAAACTGGTGATTGAAGTTAAGACAATATTGCCAGCATATGATTGTGTAATATATAAACATCCTGAGAAGCGACCGGAGAAGGTAATATATGTTCCTGTGCCTAATAAAAAGGTTTTTCACTGCTCAGAGACGGAGGAAGTGGAAGCTATAAATCAGGTTCTATATTTGCCTAAAGGTTGGTTTCTCTTTTGTGGGTTATATGCTTATGCATATATTCCAGCATATGCAGTAGGTGGTCCTTGTACTATTGGCCGTTTAACTACTGTTATGGCTGTTGCACATTTTAAAGATATAAATTATAAAACAGAGTTTTATTATGAGATGATGAATGCAAGTCTGTATCATACTGACCGTGTTCAGAAGAAAGTAATGACTAAAGTAACTACGCATGGAGGTGTTGAAAGTGTAGAGGGACATGGAAATGGAGAAATTCCTAGGCCTGAAGGGGAACCTCATTTGATTATATATGCTCCTAAGAATCCTACTAAATGGCATATTACTCCGATAGAAACATATGACCATGTTGGAGAAGGAACATATAAGGGGATTTATAGAGGTAAAAGAGATGCTACACAATTGGAATTTGATGCTAATTGTAATGATGAAGTGGTAGTACTGAATAAGGTTCAGGCTGGACTTTTGGGAATGTTTCCATGGATGTCTACGCAATATAGTCAGAATCAACTTGGACACCTAGCTTGTGCTTTAGCTAAGAGTATAAATGAGACATCTTCTGCTATTGCTGCATTAGCGGATGAGATGGGAGAAATAAGACAATCATTATTACAAAATAGAGTGGCTATAGATTATATGCTATTAAGAATGGGTCATGGGTGCGAGGAGTTCCACGGCCTTTGTTGTTTCAATGTATCCGATAGGTCTCAATTTATAGAATCTAAGATAAAAACATTACACAATATTACTACACATTTAACATATGTAACTGAGAATACAGCTTTCAAAGAAGTTTGGGGTATATTAACTTCATGGTTACCTAGCTTTACATGGTTAAGGGAATTGTTTGTAGGCATATTATTGATTGTAGTTATATGTCTTATTTCCTGTCTTTGTATTAAATGTATACCTCTTTGCTGTAATGTTTGGAAGTGTTGCTGCCGAATAAAGAAGCAAAAGAAATTAGTTGAAGATTCGCATGGTGGCTTGGGAAGAAGAGAGGTTTCTATAATGTTGCAAGATATACATAGTTTCCAGGAATAAAAACTGATAAAGAGGAGAAGGAGGGATTGTGAGAAATAAAGAAATTAGGGTTATTCCTGTAAAACAATATAGCCTAAGTTACGCCATTTTAAAATCATGTTAAGGCCTTATTTTACTCTGTATAACCTGAGTATATAATTTAGCTGACAGTTTAAGGAGTGTGAGAACAGGATGTGTGGTTCCTGTGTTTTTAGAGGAAGTTGTGTTCTTGAGATGTCCAGGTCGGCTTGACCTCGTTAAGAAAGGGAAGTGCGTATATGCTGATATACATGTGTAAGCAATATTTTTAAGTAGGGTATTTTTATATACTGGAATTATGGGGACTTTCCATAATGGGAGTATCATGTGTTCATCTATTATATAAAATCTGAAATTGTACTCAAGGGACATGCTTGTATCCTGTAAGATGTAACCTGAAAATTGTATAAAAGACGGCGAGAAAGGATGGTAATTTGCTCTCTCACTTGAGGGGGACCTTTGCAAAGACATAATTAATAAATAAACTGTATTCTTGTCTTATCTCTCAACTCTCTGTCAATTATTTTCTGGGTACAGGCATTTCCTGTGTATCACAGTTATGTAGCACAAGGCTGTATATTCTGCAACACTGGGACTATTGGTGAGTCAACAGCGGGTCAAAGGAGTAGCAGAGATGACAGTTGCTCTTTTAAAATTATGATTTAAATCGAGTTGATTTAAATCAAGTCTTTTTACTAGTGATTTAAATCATGATTTAAATCGACTCGATTTAAATCAAATCCACCCTGGGGAGGATGGGATGTCAGAAAAGGGGACAGGCTAGCAGAGCCCAGCCACAGCTTTAAGAGGTTCAGGGCAGCGGAAAAAGGGAACTGGCCCCACCGAACCTCGGACACCCATCCCGGGGGTCACACTCAGAGAAAGCTCTCGCCAAAGACGCTCGCCCATCAGCCAATCTCCCTTTTTAAATTTTTTTAAAAATTAAAACGGAAAAACAAACAAACACAGATATAACAATACAATATACACAACAGGTAAACATAGATCAAGTCTTATGACTTGTATTTTAGTTAGTCACATCGGTAAACTATATTCATCAATATATATCTCTACAACTTTACTTATATAACAATATCTTGAATTCCTTTTTTGATTTATTTTTTTCTTAATTGGTACTCGATTCCTATCTAACTATTTCATTTCCTTTTTTGTGTTCCTATATTTATTTTATTTTTTTTTCTCTAGCCAATCATACCATTTTTGCCATACCAGGTAATAATCTGTTTCCTCTTTTTCCTGTAATTCTTTCGTGAGTTTATCCATCTCTGTGCACTCCATCACTTTTAGGATTATTTTATCTTCTGGTGGTATGTCTCCCGATTTCCAACTCTGAGCGAAAACAACTCTTGCTACTTTTAAAATATGAGTAATTAAGTATTTTATTTCTTTTTCATAATGAGCTGTAAATATTCCTAATAAATAAGTTTCTGGTTTCATTGGTACTCTCTGACTTGTAATTTTTTCTATTTGGTTTTTAACCATCTTCCAAAACTGTTTCGCTTTTTGACAGGGCCACCACATATGGTAATATGTTCCTTTTTGTGTTTTACATTTCCAACAGTCTGGAGAAGTGTTGGGGATCATTTCTGCTAGGCGCGCTGAAGGAAGGTGCCACCTGTAAAACATTTTATAGATGTTTTCTTTATAGGGCAATAGTTTGTTATTTACTTTCCATAATTTTTCCCATTTATCCAATTCGATACTGTAACCAAAAATTTTTGCCCATATAATCATATTTTCCTTAACCACCTCTTCTTCTAATTTGTATTTTAATAAATAATTATAAATTTTAGTTATATGTTTATCATTTGTTCCCAATAAAATTTTATCTAATTCGTTTGGTTCTTTTTGGAATCCAAATTGTGTCGAGTCCATCTTGTATGTAGATTTTATTTGTAGATATGGCTACCAATCAATGTTTGTACCATGTTTTTTCAATTCTTCTCGTGATCTTAGCTCTCCTTTGCTGTTCAGTAGTTCTTTGTATGTTCTCATTTTATTCATGTCCATCGCATTGGGATATATTTGTGCTTCCATCGTTGAGAGCCATTCTGGAATTTTATCGTAATGGTTTTTTCTGATCTCTAGCCAGTCTTTAGGAGTGTTTCTCTAATAATGTGTCTCCGGAAGTATTCATGCTATTTATCTCTCCCCTGCCATAGGAATGCATGCCACCCTTTCAGTAAGTCAAAGTCTTCTATTGTCAGTATCCGTTTATTTTTAAGCTCTATCCAGTCTCTTATCCAGATAAGTGATGTTGCTTTATGGTATATTTGCCAATCTGGTAGCCCTAGTCTGCCCTTCTCTTATATGTCCTGGAGGTGTTTTAATTCTTGCCCTCTTTCCTTGCCATATATAGTCCGCGATCATTTTATTAAAGTCCTTAAAGAAAGCTCTTCCTGGGGTTATCGGGATTACTTGGAATAGGTATAATATTCTTGGTAATATATTCATCTTTTTTTTTTTATTGAAAAAGTTTTCAAATACAAGTTTTTCCCCCTTTCCCCCCCTCACCCTCCCTAACCCCCCCTCACCCCCCCTCACCCCGTGACTTCTTCATAACAAAAAACCAAATTCATAACAGATTACTTACTTCCTCCTCTAAATACTGACCTTTACTTACTAGAAATATTATTAATATTATAACATCCCCTTTTAACCATACATTTCAAAAAAGAGAAGAAAAAAAAAGAAAGAAAAAAAAGAGAAAGAGAAAAGATTCTATGACATTATATGATGACTTCTAATTTAACATATTTTTATAACCCCCAATTTAACAATAATCTGCCCTTTTTCTCCTCTTTCAAACTTTTATCTATATATTATTTTACAATATTTCAAAACCACCTTCCGCTTTAAAAATATATAGTAGATCCTGCTTTACCATTTAATCTTTTGTGTATATTAATATAACATTTTAGAGCGGCCTGCCCCATAAATCCTAATTTAACATTTATTCAACTCTGTCCATTTCCTCCACGCCCCTAAATATATCACTTAAACATCCCTTTTCTTAAACTAATCAGTCTGTAAACTAGCTTATTCACCCACTTTCCTGCAAAATTGCCATACACAACAATTCTTAATATCTTGAATCACTACCCACTCTGCTTAATATATATATATATATATATATATACGTATATATTCCAATATATCTAAATAGAAAAGAAAAGACAATGACTTTAAGTTTATAGTCCATATAATATCTTCTTTGAAGTCTTTCCGCTGGATTATTAAGACCATCATCCATAATAGGGTAACATAGCTTCCTGATGCAACAGTTTGTTCAAAATCTTCAATCATATCTGCCCCCATCAGTAGTAAATATCCTCATATATATATAAAAGTAAAAGCAACCACCCGAGTGACATTATAGTTATATTCCATATAGTTGTAATTGTGGCTTTCATCAGGATTATTGATTCCCATCATCCTAGTGGGTAACAACCAGATCTTCTGCATGCCCCAACGTAACTCTCTTGCCTTGTAACTCAAGATAGTTATAATATATTTATCAGAACAAAACAAAACAAAAAAAAATCCAAAGTAGATGATTCAAATCCAACAGTTTAAGGCTCTTTTCACATTCCAGAATTACGGCAATGCAGAGGTCTGTCACTGTCCTCAGGATAATATTAACCAATACTTCGCCTCCACTATCTTTTCACATATTCATACATTTTTTAAAGTCACTGGCTTCACTGTTGCTTGGTTTAGAAATTTCTATTTTTGTACGACCTATTTCTTTTTTTCTTTTCTTTTTGTGGGTTTAATTTCCATCCTGGTTTCCTTTCTACAGATTGTATATCAACTAATCGGTTTTCATTCTGCTTTATAGGTTGATCTTGTTGGTTTTGTTTTTGTATCTCGTGTTTCTTTTTTGCCCCTTGTATATCATCTGGTTGGTATCCATACTTGTCTTTGACTTGATAAGTCATCACGTTAGAGTCAGATGGCACTTCTCTCAAATTTGTAAATAATCCGGCTGGGGTATCCAAAAAATCCAAAGGCAATTTATCTGGTACAGTCTCTGTAATTCGATATTTTCCCTTTATTTCCAACTCCTTCTGCTTATCCTGTATTGTGCCTAAAGATGTTAAATTCATTTTCAAAATGTTTTTTGATAAAATTCTTCCGCTCTTTCAACAGTATTTAACTGGTATCTTTCTCCTTGATATCTCAATATAATACCAACTGGGACGTCCCACCTAAATGGGATATTTCTTTTTTTTAACTCAGTCACCAAAAAACCAAATTTCTTCCTTTCCGTTAATATCTTAGGTGGGAGTTCTTTGTAAATCCAAATCTTTCTTCCATACAATTGCAAATTAGAATTGAAAGAATTTTGCACAATGTTATTCCTAATTTCTTTATCTGTAAAATAAATCACCACATCTCTAGGCAATTGCCTTTGCTTTGCAATCCAGGAGTTTATTCTGTAAACTCTGTCAATCCTACAAAACACTTCCTCAGGTTGAACCTTTAAAATCCCAGCTAGAATTTCAGAAGATATTTTCCTTAAATCATCTCTGTTATTTTCCTGCAAACCTCTCAGTCTTATTGCATATTCAGTGAAATTATATTGTACCATTAAAACCTCTCTTTCAATCCTCTGTTGCAAATTTTCTACATTGCCAGTCTTTTGATCAGCCTCCATTTTAGGTTTTTCTTCTGAGCTATTATCTTGAATATTTATCAAATCATTTTCAATTTTTTGAATTCTATTATCCAAATTATCTTGAGTTTCTTCCATTTTAGACTCTAGTAACTTAGTATTTGCATCCAACTGTATCATAAATTCTGAAAAGCCATTAGCCATTTTTAAAATTTTTCGCTCCAAAAAATCAAACTTAGATTTCACCAATTCTTTAATTTCCTGCTTAAATTTTTCAAGGTGCTGATTCACAATCTCATCCCTTCTTACAATCTCCTCTAAGAGAAATTCTATTATATTAAAATCAGGTTGCTGAGACTGGAGACTTAAAACTTGTTCCTTTAGCTTGTTAGTGGGGGAATCCCCCCCCCACTACTTGTTTGTCTGACTTTATAAGTCTCAGTGCCATGTTTCCGCCCAGGCAAGCTTTGTAAAAAAAAAAAAAAAAGACTTCTTTCCAATCAGAAGCAATATCCGATCCCCAGGAAAAAAAAGAGAGAGAAAAAGAACACAGGAGCGAAGTTTTGTCTACAATTGTAGCCAGTGGTATTTATTCCGCTACATTGTAATAATAGAGAACGGAAGGACTTTCCCTTTCAGCCTCTTCTCAAGCCTCGTCAGACGCCATTTTAAAAGTCCTTTTTTTTTCCTCTTTCCTTTCCCCTTTTCTCTTGAATAGTTTTTATAAAATAAGTAAAATACTTGCGATTCTGTATCACAGGTCCAGCTCACATTTTCTTTGATTGGTCTGTTAAATTCGCAGGCTTGCTCTTGTCGCCTGGCTCTGCATATAGCAGAGGTCTCCCAAAGCCCGGAGCAGCGGCTG